CCACGGAGACGACTTCTTATTATCATTACAGCTACTACTATTACGGCTACCACTCCTATTACCGCGACTGTTTCTATTGCGACTGCACTCCGTGCGCCTTCACCCGTGCCCCGTATTTGTACACCGTATATCCGTACATGCGAGCTGCCGGGGTAAATTGGTTGCCCTTGAGGAACCTCGAAGTTGATTAACCTCATGCCCGTGGGAATAAACACTAGGGGATAATAAAGTTCGGGGTTCAGGGAGAGATAATAAAAGTAGCCCAGCAGACCTCAGCATAATCTCGAAGTAAGAGATGATCAAGAGGAGACCAAGCCGAGCACGTTTTGAGACGATGAAAGTGAAAGAAAAAAGGAATAAATAATACAATAAAAGAAATGATAGGAGGAGGAGAAGGACGAAGAGAAGAAAAAATCTCGAGTTTCAAATATATTAGATTTTATTTACAAGCGCTTTATGTGTAGGCTCGTGCTCGTGTAGGGTAGCTCATGTGCCTCAATTTCCATGGATAATCAACCCCAGAGATTTAAAAGTTCAGGCGAGCGTGGGGACAGAGAGAAATATAAAAGAAGAAGAATACAGTAGACGAATAATAAGAAAGAAGAAGAAGAGGAGAATAAGAAGAGGACGCAGAAAGGAAAAATCCAAAGTTCCAAATCTATCAATTTTAATTTACAAGCGTTTTATGAAAATTGATTTGTTTAAGTGCTCGTGTCGGGTAGCTAATGTGCTTCATTTTCCATGGATAATCAACCCCAGGGATAAAAAAGTTCAGGCGAGCGTGAGGACAGATAGAAATATAAAAGAAGAAGAGGAAAGTATAACAATAATAAGAAGAGAAGAAGATACGAAGAAGAAGAGAAGAATAACGGAAACATGGAAAGTTCCAAATCTACCAATTTTAATTTACAAATTATTGGTTTCGCTTGACACATCCTGAAAAAATGTGATCGCTTCGCTTGATGTTGCTATATCAACATCGCTTGATGTTGCTATCTCAACATGGCGTTTCGAGGTGATAATGAAGTTCGGCCTCAGCGCTCGCCGCCCAATTTGAATTTTGTATAGGGCGACGATAATCAACTCTAAACACTGAAGGGGGGGCCCCTTTATTATCATCGGCGTGCGGTTATCCCCTCTTTGTGATTGTCGGGGGCATTCGCTTCAGGAGTACAGATAGGTCGTGGTCGAAATTCGAGGGCGAGGACAGGGACGGGGGGGAGGCGGAGGGCGAGGGTTTGGATGGAGGAGGTTTGGAGAATGGCGAGGATGAAGACGTAGAAGGGGGAGAATTGACGGAGGATGGGGGGTTGGAGGGGGGGAATGGGGAGACAGGAAGAGTTCCAGCATGATGAGAAAGAGCTGAACGCAGTCGATTTACGCCCCTGGCACGGAGGCAGTATGATGATGAGAAGAAGAAAATGAAGAAACAACATGATGATAACGAACAGGTGGAGTAGGAGCTGTAGGAGGAGGAACATGAGGAGGAGCCGTTGTGGAGCAGCCTCGGGCCCGCCTTGAGCATCTAGGAAGATATATTGAGCCAGATTCGGATGTCTTGGCCGATCCCGAACCCGGGATGCCGTCTTGGAATCTCAGACGCTCTAGCCACCCTTTTCCGCCTCGCCCCAGTCCAGACACGGAGGAGGGGTCGTGTATTGCAGGGTCGCGCATGCTCGAGGTGGGTTTGAACACCCATTGCGGCAGGCTGGGGTAGCGCCTGGCGGGCTTGCCGGGCCACCTCCCCGAGGGCGTCTGGGTGGTCCTGGGGGCTGGCCTGGACCGCCATGCCCAGGTCGCTGCGGAGGGGGCGGGGGAGCGTCACCTCGGGAGTGCGTTCGACGCGTTGGGTCCCCGTGTCCAGCACGTCCTGCGCGTCTGCGCGCGTGCCTCCCTCCTGGTGGGGCGCAGGGCTGGGGCGCGGCACCACGAGGAAATGCTGGGCGCGTAGTTATCGAAGCCTCGCGCTGGCGTCGCCAGCCCCCTCCGCGGAAAAGGACTGCCTGTCCGTGTTGAGGGCTGGGGCCGCTTGGACTCCGACCCGACGCTGGGCAGTGTCGAGCAGATTGCAGGCTTGCCCCTCGTGCGGGTATGACCAGGCTTCGGCCCACCACTTCTGGGCGGAGTGCCTGCGGCTCCTCCGCCCCAGGAGGGTTCTTGAGGAGGGGCCGCTGGCGGTCCCCCAGCCATGGGTGGTGGGGAGCGCAGGCCCTGTTTTACGGCCAGCTCCGTTTGGATCACGCAGCAGGCGCACCCTTGCCCGCGATGACGGGTGCAGCTCCCGATGCGCAGTCGCGGCGCGCTTGGCCCTCCAGGTCACGGAGGCGCTGGAGCGCAGCGGAATCAGGGCCCCCGCAGTCCCGCGGCAGTGGCTGGCGGAAGCGTCCCCGCGGGGAGCGCTGGAAGCAGAAGCGGCGGAGGCTGCACGGGCGGCGGCGGGCGGGCACGCTTGTGCCGCGGAAGTTGTAGGGACCGCGGGCCTCGGGGCCTTTCGGCGCTTGCTGGCGGAAGCTGCGCCTGCGGCTGCCAGTGGAAGCATCCTCCACGCGGAAGTGGCGACGCCATTCGCCCTATTCCTCCTCCTCCTCCTCCTCCTCCTCCTCCTCCTCCTCCTCCTCCTCCTCCTCCTTCCTCCTCTTCCACCCTCCTCCTCGTCCTCGTTCTCGTCCTCCTCCTCCTTGTCCTCCTTGTCCTCCTCCTCCTCCTCCTCATCCTCCTCCACTTCCTGCCCCCAGGCTGGCGGGGCGCTGGGTCAGGGGGATGTTGCTTTGATGTCCCGTTGCGGCGCCCCCCCAATGGTGTCCTGTGTGCGTGGGGGGGAGCTCGGCCCCCCCCCCTCCACCCAGATATCCGCGGCTGGCGCGGCGGCATGAGCACAGGGCGGCACCCCACTCCCTGGGCCACCCCCCCTCGGCTCGGGCTGGCGGCGGCGCCGGTCAGGTCGGCGCCGCTGCTTCCTCCTGGGGGGGGGGTCTCTGGGCGGAGCGTGAGCAGGCGTGGAGCACTCGCCCCGGCCAGAGGCCGCGTGGAGCACGCGGCAAGGCCTTAAAGGACGCGTACCGCATGGCCGTCGCACCGGTGCTGCAGAGCCGTGCTGCAGGGTGTCGCAGGTCTTGGCCGCGGCGTGGGGTCGGCTTTACGGGGGGGGCACTCTGCAAGGTGTCGCAGGTGCGCGGCGGAGTTCAGGGGAAAGGGTAGGGATACGGGTTCCATCTGGAGTCTGGAAGAAGAAGCGCTCTAGACCACATCCGCCCAGAGGGTGGGTGGGATTACGCTGCATTTCTATGATGATCAGCTTCGGGTGATCCGCCCCGATTTCTGGGCATTCGGGCGCATTTGGAACGCTTCATCCGACGTTTCCCTTTTCGTCCGTCTCTGGCGATTCTTTTGTGAGCCGCCGATTTATTCCGTGGATTGCGGGCCACTCGCACAATCAAAGTAAGTGCGAATGATATTTGCACCACAGTGTACATTGGACGAACGGCGCTCGCCGAGAGTCTGGGGTGTTTTGTGGCCCCAGGTCGAGTTTGAAGGGGCCCTTTGCTGTTGCGCGCTTCTGGCGCATGTGCTAGCTGGATGTCCTTACCCGCCCAGTCTGGGGTCCTATAGGCATCAGGATCCCTTTCGCGGAGGGAAATGGGAGTCGGATGCAGCCGCGACTGACTTGGAATGCTCGATGCTCCCTCCAGAGAGAGGAAGTCGTGAGGGGGCCGGGGCCCCAGCATGAGTGCACCAGCGCATGAGGTGCCGAATGCCCAGCATGAGTATGGCTACGCACGAGGGGCCAGAGCCCCAGCATGCGACGTCGAAGCACGACGACCCAAAACCCCAGCAGGCGCGGTCAACGCGGAACCGACACATCGTGTGTTATCGGGACAATCGCAATGGGTACGGAAAGATGGGTACGATGCCCAATAGCAATTTCTGTTCATTTTGAACAGGAATCGTTGTTCGCGCCGCCGCGGACGTGATTCTTTGGAGACAGAGGGTGCCTGCCCAACAGCGGCCGCTGTCGGTTCTGGACAACATTTGTTGTTGGGCATTGTATCCATTTTTTCGTACCCATTTCGGGCGTCCAAATGGTAGGATTGCCCAGCCAGACCCTTTGCGACTTGCAATTTTTGCGCCCGAGGTGAGTGAGTGTGTGTGTGTGTGTGTGTCCTTCTTCGGCGTCCGAAGTCAAGCTTTTCCTCTGCCAGCGCTGTCAGCTAAGCTGCGCAGGCGCATTGACAAGCATAGCCAAACACGGTCGTACAATCTCGGATGAGGAGCAGGTTTGATCAAGCGGTGAAGGACGAAACGCGTCGTGAGACCAACGAGGGCGTACACACGCAGAGGGAGAGGAGGTGGAGGAGAGCAGGACCACGGAGCGTGCGGCACGCGTCGCAACCAGCGAGGATGTAGCCATTGGGATGCACATACACACGCTTGCTCACGCACGCACGCACATACACACACACATACACACACACACACACACGCCGGTTGTTCCTCCGCGACGTTGTACCAACAGCCGGTCGAATTCAAGGGGGATGGTACACACACGCACGCACGCACACATTTTTGTTGAGGAACGCGTTCGGCGTTGCAGGCCCGCACGTCGCGAGAAGTCGTGCAGCAATAATCCACACTCACGCTTGTGTGTGCTACGCTCAGGTGGACATGTCGAGCAGATTTGGTTTTGGTGGACATGTCGAGCAGACTTGGTATTGGCGTTCCGGTATTGCCGTTTCTGCTCACGGGTTGTTCGGGATGATTTCTTCATTGCCCCCCGCCAGAGCCAGAATTAGCATATCGTCAGTTCTTCAATAGCATGCGATGTTCAGAGTACACGGTGAAATATTACATCGGATAACATGGTCAGGCGGATGACGTGAGAGTTTCGAGTCACGGGATGGGTGGGAGTTGGGCGTATGGCGCATACATTTGCAAGCCAATCTGACCCGCGGCAAGCAACATACGCGCGATAGTGGTGCATGTTCATCCGCCCCGTTTCAAAGGCCAACTGGTCCTTTCCTGTACTGCGCCATGGCCGTAGGCAGACTTCCGCCGCGTGCCCGACGGGTGCTATCAGATGCTTTGTTCTGCGTCGTGTGTGCGCATCGCGTACCGCATGAATATGTCGTCGTTGTGGCGTTGGTCTCCTCTGATGTCTGACAATCGGTGTCACTTGCATGGCTCTGCATCACGATGCCCCTCCTGATCTAGAATTGACGTTCGCGATTGCGTCCCCCGCATCGTTGGTCGTCCTTATCTGAAGCATGCGTGCGCTAGTCAGTCCCGCCTATCTCCACTATGGTTGTGCAAAACTTGTTCATATCATATCGGGTTTTGATCTCAAACGTAGGCTTGGACGCATACATTGGAGGTCTGGAACTGTCGCCGTGAGGCACTGATTCAATGCTGTCTGCCGTCTGGAGGGTCTATTTGGTCTCGCTTGGGGAGTCAGGTGCCGTCTTGAAGTCTTGAAGGCCTCGTGAGGCCATTGGGAGCCGTCCTGGGCCCTTCTTGGGCTATCTTCGCGCCGTATGCAGCTCTCTTGGGCCTCATTGGTGCTGTTTGAGCCAAGTTGAACGCCTCTTTCGCCTTAATGTCAGCATGGCGGGCCATGTTTGCCGATTTGGGAGTGGGAGTTGGTGGTGCCGGCCGGCAAGCGTGTGGATAGGTTTGCGAGGCTTGACGAGCCAAACCGAAGGTTCTTTCTTTTCTGCGCACGCACAGCAGCCCCGTGTGAACACAGGAAGCGGCGGATCTAGTGACGTGCGCACCCCGTCACAGTGCCTGGAGTGTGGGTGCAGGGCGCGGTGGGAAGCCGGGTGGGAATCAAGTCCAGCATTTGGCAAAGAAATGTCCTCCCGAACATTTGGGCCAGCGTTCCTTAACCAGTTTGCCAGAGTGCTGGCCCAGTTTCTTGAGCACGTTTGCCCCTCGAGCGTCAGTCACATAATTTGGACCAGGCTTGTTCAAAGAAGTTCCCGGGAGGTTGGCCCAGATTTTGTAAGGTATGATTTGTTTGATCGTGTAATCGGTTGTAGTTCGGGTTGCCCGAATGTGGTTTTGTTTCGGGTCTGTTGGGCCCATTTTGGGAGGAAGGGTTCTCCGTTCGTTGGGATGCAGCTCCTGGGAGGTCAAATTCTGATGTTGCCCTGGTCCGAAATCCAGTTTAATCCTGCTTAATCCCGCTTAATCCGGCTTAATCCTGCTTAATCCCGCTTAATCCGAGGCCCACTCCGGCGTAACAGCCCCCCAATGGGGCTGAATCTTTTTTAATCCTTCCGACGAAAACCTCCCAGTAGTTGCCTCCTAACGTTCGCGGACCCTTTTTGAAGCCCTGCTTGGCGCCGTGCTGGAAGCTCCCTGCGCTCCTCTCGGCAGCCTCGGTTGCCGCCCTGCGCGATCTCGGAGGCCTCTTTGGCTGGCTCTCGGACTTTCTGAAGACCGAGCAGGCGATAATGTTAAGATCCTACAAGGCCCATGGGCGCATGGCAAGCTTAAATTCCTGAGCCGCCCCTCGCGGCCCTCAGGCCAACCCAGTCCTCTAGCATGGCCTGCAGACGGGGGTCCTCGGGGCGATCTTGGCGCACACTGGAGTCCTGGATGGATTCCTGGAAACAGCTCCCGCGGCTGCGGGAAGGTCACGCGAGAAGCTTGAGGAAGCCTGCAGGAGCGCCTTCCAGCGCTAGAGAATTGAGAGTATTGAGGACTTCAATGGACAGGAGGACAGCCGGCTCGATGCCAGACGGACGATGGCGCATTGCACGGGGAGAGTGTGCCGTTGTCATCGGAGTCCCATGGCCAGGTTTGCCACAGCACACAGCGCCCTTCGTCACATCTTCGACTCCAAGTGGGTGCCTCGTCATATCGTGTTTTTGTCCTGCGGCGTCGAGGCAGCATGAGCCTGCATAAGCCGTACCCGACAGCCAGCGATTACAGCCTGATGATCACGGTGTTGTTGATCCAGGCCAGGTTGGTGCGATCGTGTTGTATGTGAGGTAATGCCCCGTGTAGGAAACGCGCTCTCGGAGAGCTCGTGGAACTGTCTTAGAGGCAGGAGCCCTTAGCATTGGGAAGCCTCGGAGGAGAAGGGGATGCAGAAGGCAGGAAGAACTCGGCTTCTCGGTTTCGACAGTTGTCCAGAAACACGCCGAACGAGCCCGACCCATATGCAAGCATTGTCTATGTTACATCAGCGAGCTCCTCCAAGACGAATGTGTCTTTGGAAGGGCGCGCTGCCCCTTCTGCAAGCTACATGGGGGAACCTGCGCATTGCGCACCCCAACGCAGGTAGAAAAGGCGGCACGGCCGGGAAGTCCACTTGCAGGCGTACGGCTTGTTTTCGCATGACCACAGGTCACGAGCAGCCGCGCAAGTGGCAGCGCCCACGCAGGGGAGGTCTGGCCTGGCACCGTTCGAGGCCGCACTCCACTGGGCCCAGGGAGGGCGAGGGGGGAACAAGCGGCGCGGCAGCGGAGAGGAAGCCATGTGAGGCAGAGGAGGCAGCGAGGATGAGGCTAGTCAGCGGCGAGCCAGGGTCCTGATGCATCGGAGTCCTTGTTTAGGGGGGGGGGGCCTGGAAAGCGCAGAGGTAAGTTCCCCGAAACGGGGGGTCAGCGCAACCCGGTCGGGGTAACTCTGCCACAGCCTTTTCCGGTCGGTGGCGGGCGAGGGGGGAAATGAGAAGGAGAAGGGCTTTCTCAGAAGGCTCGGAGGTCCCCCGGCCTTCGCAGAAGTTGTCCAAGCCTTCCCCGAAGACGCAGAAAAAGCTGCTCAGAGGGCGCGAGGGCTTCTGAGAAGTCCCGCCGCCTTCTGGGAAGGCCGTCTCCTTCCCACGGCCCCCCCTCGCTCGAGGGCGAGGGGGAGGAGGCGGGAGGAGGGGAGGAGAGGAACGGTCGGGGAGCGGCGGGGAGGAGAGGGGAGGGCGAGGACTCGACACGGCAGGGCTGGGGAGCAAACACACAACTCGACGCCATCCCGTCCGTGGTGCGAGGGCGGCCTCCCGGGGGGGCGACGGGCATGGTGTGCGGTGCAGTCCTGCCCGTGCCGGTGGGGAGATCTGCGCACAGCACGCGTCCCAGCGGCTCGCCGAGGTGGGAGGCGAGAGAGGGGGGGGGCAGGCCGGCTCGGGTGGTGGCGGGGCTTCTCAGAAGCCCTCGGCCTTCCGAAGAGCCCTCTGCGTCCTGGGACACGAGTCCGAAGGCCCCTCGGGCACAGAGGGGACTTCCGAGCCTCCCGATGAGGCCCGCCCCTTCTGCTTTCCCCCTTGGCGTGCCGCCGACTGTCCTTGGGAGGTCGTCGGCCGTGCACGCAGGAGGGGAGGGGGGTGGGGCGGTGTGCAACCTTATCTTGGGCGCCCCAGGGGATACATTTCGGCCCTCGCCCTCGCTACCGAGGCACGCCGTCTCGTGCCCAGCGTCCATCTTCCTTTTGGGGCTCTCTCCATCCAAGCGGCTCCAAACAGAACACGTGGTCGTTTGCGCCGACATTGACGCGTGGGGGGTCAGATAAACGCGCTTGTGTGCCCCCTGGGGCGGGAAGGAGGAGGAGGAGGAGGAGGAGGAGGAGGAGGAGGAGGAGGGAGGAGGCGGAGGAGGAGGAGACGGAGAGGAGGAGGAGGAGGAGGCGGAGGAGGGAAAGAGGGAGGAGGAGGAGGAGGAGAGGGGGGAGGGAGGGAAGGGAGGAGGGAGGGAGGGAGGAGGAGGGGAGGAAGGAGGGAGGAGGGGAGGGAGGAACGAGGGAGGAGGGAAGGATGAGGGAGGAGGGAGGAGCGGGACGAAGATGGGAGGGAGGAAGGAGGGGAGGATAGGAGGAGGAGGAGAGGAGGAGGAGGAGCAGAGGAGGAGGAGGAGGAGGAAGAGGAAGATGAAGGAAGAGGAGGAGCACGAGGAGGAGGAGGGAGGGGGGAAGAGGGAGGAGGGACGAGGAGGAGGAGGAGAGCGAGGATGGAGGATGGAGGGGGAGGAGAGTGAGGATGGAGGATGGAGGAGGGAGGAGGGAGGATGGAGGAGCGCGGAGGGAGGATGGAGGACGAGCGCAGCGCCTCACGCGTGTCTCCCGAGCGGCCGCGGGCGCGATCGACGAGCGACAGCGTGGCGCCCTCACGCCGCGATGGCGGAGAGGGCAAGGTTGAAGAAAGTGCGGAAGAAGACCCACTCGCAGAGGAAGAGGGCCAGGGGCGCGTCGACGTAGGCCAACCTCCGCCGACGAAGCAGGCGCCGCCGCCGAAGAAGACACCGTGCCACCAGCCGACCACGGAACGGCAGCGAATCACGACATGGTCGACCATCGCGCCGCGTGGCTGCGAGAGGGGCCACCCTGCGGGAGCTGCGCCGCTGGGGTACGTCGGGCACGAGGCGCCAGTCCCTTCTCGACGCGCCTGATCGCATCTTGCTGGTTGCGGCGTGTGGACTCGTTGGGCGAGAGCCTTTCGCACCTCAAGCCAAGCTTCCGCACTGCGCGGGCATCGCCCGCAGCACAGTGGGACCCGCAGCGTCTGCCACAGTAGACATCGTTGCCCCTCTACACGTCGTGCCCAAGCGCGGCGACAACGCCCCCTACCTCCTCGGCCAGGGCAGGTGGCACCAGGGCCGCGGGAGCCGAGGGTAACGAGCTCCCTTCGAGCGCCAAAGCCGCGCCCAGGGCCATGTCAACCCTTTGGTCGCTGCAGGGGGCCCGGCCCTCGCCGAAGGTGCGGAAGTACTCGGCGTTGAGAGCTCTGGCAACACGCGAAGGCCGACATACACTACGAGAGCCAGCTTGCAGCGAATCGAGGGAGGTGCCTGTTGTGGCCGTGGCTCCGCGGAGAAGGTTCTCATACCGCTACCCTTGCTTCGCTTTCCCCTGTTTGGGCCTCCTGCGAGGCCCCCGTCGCCACCGCTGGGTTCGCCTCTCGAAGCTCTGATCAGAACGCACCCCTGGAGAGGCCGGTGGAGTAGCGGTATGGGTACTTTGTGGCTTCCCCAGCGTCGGGAGGTCCAGTGGCGCCACAGGCGAGACACCGGTCGGGGCAAGGACGAGGATGAACTTGTCCCAGAGCGTTCCGACACGCTCTCAGAGCGTTCTGGAACGCTCTCGAGAAGGCCGCGGCGCCCGATACATCTTGCAGAAACGCCAGATCTCAAATATTCGATGTACATTCAACCCGCATAGTAAGGACGGGGCTGTATTTCTAAGGATACCCTTGCATCCTTGTCTCTTCGGTCCATTGGGCAGGTAGCGCAGTGTTTGGCAGAGGCTCTCGCGCGTATCTTGCCGCGCTCCACTGGCAGGCCAATCGCCGCGTTGCGTCTTTGACAGCGCGGGTCCGGGCAGCGCTTTGTCGGTGGGGGCGCTTCTTGCAGGAGATACCGCAAAGACGGATTCCCTTGGCCCCGCACGCAACACAGCGTTGCATTGTATATACAGACGCCGCCGGGGATGGAACAATGGCATTTGCCGTTGTGCATCCGCAGCTCCGTCTCTGGAGCGCGACCTGGGTGCCGCAGAATGCCTGGGCGTGGGCACACCCACGGCGCACGCAAATAGTACTTTGGGAATTGGTGGCGGTTGTGTGCGCGGTGAGAATTTTGTTTGAGCGTGGTCTCGAAGACTGTGAAGTCGTTTTTTCCCGGAAAGGGCTCAGGCCCAGGGTTCTCTTTTAGTAGGTAAACCTGTCCCCCGGTGCCAACTTGAGGGAGGCCGGCGAATTTTTTCCCTGATAAATAACGAGGTCGAAGGAGGCCGGCGAATTAAAATTTGAGGATGTCTCGAGCGAAACGCTTGTTTTTGAAATCCCGATCGATAAATCACAGGGTGCGGGCCACTTTTTTCGTGTGTTGAGGATGTCTCGAGCGAAACGCTTGCTCCGCAGAGTTTGCCGAGGATGTCTCGAGCGAAACGCTTGTTTTGCAGAGCCGACCGCGACGCGGAAAAGCGCCCCGCGCGAAGGAATTTCGATGATGTCTCGACTAAATCCTTTGTTTTTGTACGATTTCCTGGAATTTTGGCAGGATGTCTCGAGCGAAATGCACGACCCCACCCTAGCACGACCATACCCCAGCACGACCACACCCCAGCACGACCAGACCCCAGCACGACCCCACCCCAGCACGACCCCCCCAGCACGACCATACCCCAGCACGACCACACCCCAGCACGACCCGACCCCAGCACGACCCTACCCCAGCAAGACCACACCCCAGCACGACCACACCCCAGCACGACCTCACCACAGCACGACCACACCCCAGCACGACCACGCCCCAGCACGACCACGCCCCAGCACGACCACGCCCCAGCACGACCACGCCCCAGCACGACCACACCCAGCACGAACACACCTCAGCACGACCACACCCCAGCACGACCACACCCCAGCACGACCACACCCCAGCACGACCACACCCCAGCACGACCACACCCCAGCACGACCCGATCGATAAATCACAGGGTGCGGAGCACCCCAGCACGAACCCACCCCAGCACGACCCCACCCCAGCACGACCCCACCCCAGCACGACCACGCCCCAGCATGACCACACCCCAGCACGACCACACCCCAGCACGACCACTCCCCAGCACGACCCCACCCCAGCACGACCCCACCCTAGCACGACCACACCCCAGCACGACCACACCCCAGCACGACCCCACCCCAGCACGATCACACCCCAGCACGACCCCACCCCAGCAAGACCACACCCCAGCACGAACGCACCCCAGCACGACCTTACCACAGCACGACCACACCCCAGCACGACCACGCCCCAGCACGACCACGCCCCAGCACGACCACGCCCCAGCACGACCACGCCCCAGCACGACCACGCCCCAGCACGACCACCCCCCAGCACGACCACCCCCCCCAGCACGACCACCCCCCAGCACGACCACCCCCCAGCACGACCACACCCCAGCACGACCACTCCCCAGCACGACCGCACCGCCTTGGGTGAGTGGTTGCCTGTCGTCGTGAATGTTTCGTGG